GGGGCGGGGCGGTAGTAGTGGTGTTTGACAGCGGTGGTGTTGACAATTCTGGCCCTACCTTTTGGTCTGAGCGTGCGGCTGCAGCTGCGTCGGGCCATCACATGGGCTGAGCGATTGCTCAGGTTTCCAGAGAGGTTATGGGATAGATAAGCAGGAGAGCCAGACATGAGCAGCTATAGTTCTGGCATTTTCTGACTTCAGAGAGTTGACTAAATACCATTATTCTAACGTAATTACGTGTGTGTGTGTGTGAGCTGTATATATATGTGTGTGTGTGTGTATATATGTATGCAAGCACATGCCTAACTATTTTTGTTAATTCATTAATATACATTAATATAATATATTTGTATCCAGGACAGATACATAGTGAATATATATACATACATATATACCTACACATGCACACATACCCTTATGTTTGTACACATAGCATTTACAAACATAGATTATGTATAATATTAACAGATTTCCAATGTACATAATGTTTGCCAAGCAAAGCAATGCCCAAACCGTAAAACAGTGACTCAAATGTCTGTAGAAGCTTTTTAGCTTTTGATATCGTTGCCCTTGGGCGCTGTATTTCAAGGTGTTGCCAACTTTTCTCAGCTCTGATGACAGGTACTTGTTAGTTTTAATGTTCAAATGATAGTTTTTCACTTTGCTTAAGCTTAGGAAAGAGTTAATTGACTAAAGCACTTCTCAGCAGCAGGTTGTCTTCACCTGCAATTTCCGTCATCAAGTAATTAGCCATATTCACAGTTGCTGACCCTTAATACTAACCTACTGAATGATGCATGCCTGGATGAAGACCAGTTGACCATATTACTCCAGCTCCCCAATCCTTTTTGATCCTTCAGCAAATATATTGCAGGTGTGGGGTCTGTGAGAGCTGGACTTGGTGAGTTAATTTCTCACTGCCTCTTTAGGAGTGACCGTAGATTCTGTATATGTTGCTTGCAAAACTGTTGGATGTGTTCTTTAGGCACTAAATCCTTAACAGGTTTTACAGAACAGTGTGAAAACCTTTTCTATTGTATTTTGCAATATTTTATTTAATTTACTTTAATAGCAATACAGTGCCAGTCAATAAAAACAGGTCAAAAGTCTAATTAATGTTTTAAAAATAAAGGTTCTCAAACACCAGGCGAGTTTGTCATTTTCTGTATGGTTTGTTTTGAGGAGGAAGAGGAAAGAAGGTGAGGAGGGAACCCTTCTGTTCCATGATTACATCCCACCCGCTCATTTTCTCCTTTTCTGCTTTGCTTTTGATTTTAGTGGCGGTCTTAACAGAATGTCAAGATCAATTTGCAGCATGGTTTAACTCAAGGTTTGCATTCTGCCAGCAGCAATTGTCCTAATGAACAATGCCGTGTGTTCTTGTAACTTCAGAAGCTTTTAGAAGGCTCATGGCAAGGGCAGCATCTAATGACTTTATTAGTGTAGGGTTTCAAAATGGGCTCAGTAATTGTTCACATCTCTTTGTCATCTAGTCATAATTACTGCATAGTATTGTTCGGGGTTGCACTTGTGAATAGTTTCCTAATAGCACTGAAAGGAAGAAA